GACAAGGAGCCTACTGTGATCATGCGTCTTTCATCCAGACTCTAGTAATCATTCGCGATCCATCTGCAGGTGACTGCGACCGTATTCTATAATATCTTGCTCGCATTTCTTCGGGGCATCGGTGTGATTCTAGCTGTCCTCAAAGAGTCCACGGTGTACTGTTTACATATATATATTTTTTTTTTTTTTTTTTTTTATCTACTGCTTTCACCAGCGTTAGTAGGTAGAAAAGAGAAAGGTTTTCTTTCCCGTTGGTTCACCCCCCAATGGCCGACGCGGCTGGCGCGCTGTGGCTGGCGCACCGCGCTGATCCGATGGCAGGAGCCAGGAGCCAGGTGCTTCTCCTGGTCTCCCATGCGGGTGCAGGGCCCAAGCACCTGGGCCATCCTCCACTGCACTCCCGGGCCACAGCAGAGAGCTGGCCTGGAAGAGGGGCAACCGGGACAGAATCCGGCGCCCCGACCGGGACTAGAACCCGGTGTGCTGGCGCCGCAAGGCGGAGGATTAGCCTAGTGAGCCGCGGCGCCGGCCTCACCCTCAGAATTTGTACCCATCAATCACTCATTGATTACTATTAATTATTATCTGGGGGCCATGGATAACGTGTGTACCTAGTGAAGCTTAGAGACCCAGGTCAGACTCGTAAAATGCACAGGGCGAGGGACGGGGGGGGGTGGGGTGTGCTGGCCGCGTCCTATACAGGTACCCCTGGAGCCGGGCTGTTCCACTTCCTATCTAGCTCCCTGCCTATGCACCTGGGAAAGCAGCGGACGATGGCCCGAGCGCTTGGGCCCTGGGTGGAATTTTGGGCTCCTGGCTCTGGCCTGGCCCTGCCCTGGCTGCTGCAGCCATTTGGGGGAGGGAACCAGCAATGGAAGATCGATCTCGATCGATCTCGATCGATCACTCTGCCTTTCAAATAAATAGCACCTCACACACATGCACACACGGAGATGGAAAAGGGACTGTGCTTTACAGAAACACCCAAGTTCATGGCTGTGCAGAATCCTACCCACGAGCCCTTGCGGGCCTGGGGCCCACTGGTTAAGAGCCCCCAGTGGGAGGGGGCATTTGGCACAGCAGGTAAGACCCCTCTTATCCCAGCAACTCTGCCCCAACTCCAGCTCCCTGCGAATGCACAGCCTGGGAGGTGGCTAACTCAGGGCCTTGGGCTCTTGCCACCCACGTGGGCGACCCAGATGGCATTTCAATTTCCTGGCTTTGTCCTGGCCCAGCCAGGGAGGGAGGGGCAGGGGAGGGGTTAGATAGAGAGAGACAGTGCCCCTTGTTGCTGGCTCACTCCCCAAACGCCCACAACAGCGGCAGCTCCTTCCAGGTCTCCCACATGGGTGGTGAGGCCCTAAGTTTGTGAGCTGCCACCCTGCCTCCCAGGGTGTGCACCAGCACAGGGCTGGACTGGAAGCAGAGTGGGGACTCAAACCCCAGCACTCTGATGTGTGGGTGCCCCGGCGGCATCTCAACAGCTGTGCCAAGAGCCCACCCCCCTCTGCGGGGTGTTAGACTTGTCATAACCCCCCCCCCCAGCTTAGGGGCACAGAGAGGAGCAGTGACTCTCCCAAGGTCACACAGCCAGGAAGTAGGGAAGCTGGCACCAGACCCCAAGCTCTCTGGCTCAGCAGCCCACACCCACAGGGGCCTCCCTGGTGCCTGCTCCCACAAGCAAATGAGACACAGCTGGGCTGGGGTTTTGTTACCCCAGCCTATGGAAGCCTTCCTGAGAGAGATGGCCCCTGAAAGGGGCGGGCAAAATAGATGACGGACAGGGCGGCCAGCCTATGAGACACCAGTACCTACCTCCACTGTCTTATAAAGGAAGGAGTATACCAGGGAAGCGTTGGCGTTCTTCAACGTGGTGGCCACCACTGGGGGCAGCAAGGGTCAAGGAAAAGGTACCCTTTGAGGGCGGGAATGGACCTCACCTCCCCCACGCACCTGACCCATGCTGTGCAACTTCCACCCTCTGCTCACCCTCTCTGGGCCGGAGCAGCCAGCACCTGGGCTCCAGGGACCCCCGCCTGGTGGGATACAGTAGAGGTTGCTGTGTTTGATCCACAGGAAGTGGACCCGGCCGTGGCTCAGCAGCGGGGCCAGGGACCCCTCCTCCTCCTGCTGCATGAGCAGGGGCATGAAGTGGTCGATCTCGCTCATGGCCACGTCGCCCTTGTAGTTGCGGCTGATCAGGGGCTGCGGGCGGGCAGAGGGGACCGGTCACGGCCAGCGGTGGGGCCTGTCTCAGCTTCTGCCGCCTTCT